GCCAGCTGCTTTGTTCTTACCGAGCTCCTTGAGCATATTTTCTACTTCATCTCTAGACACCTCTATCCGCTCTATGTTGTTCTCTGGAATTCTTATTGTGTCTGGTTCTCTGAAGATTTCATTTTGTACAAACACACTTTGGAACTTTTCATTTAATGTTTCACACATTTCCTTTTCATTTTCCTTGAATCTGTTTCCCATTTTCAACCTCTGGATATTATCCTTTACCTGCAATTTGTTGTTTATGAATTTGAAGAATAGGCCCGGTTCTGTTTTACATTTATCTGCTATCCCTTTTTCAAACTTTCTTTCTGCCTCTCTCCTTACTGCTGTATAGTTGTTTCTCGCATCTTTGTATCGCTGGTATGTTTGGGGGTTTGGCCTCTTCCTATACTGATTCCATTTTTGTGTCTTTTGGTCTCTTGCCCTCTCACAATTTCTGTCGAACCAATCCTGTTTTCTGGCCCTGCATCTCTGTTTTGGTATGAATGTTTGTGTGCCTTCCTCGTATAGTTTTAAAAATTTGGCATACATTTCATTTACTTCCCTACCTAGCAACAATTCTGTCCAATTACACTAATTAAAAAAATTTTGAAGTTCCCCATAGTTGCCTCTCCTTAAATCGAGTTTATCAACTGTTTCAATGTCCCCATTTTCTTCTAGATGATATCTTAAAGCATATTTAATGTCTAACAGGACGTGATCACTCTTTCCCAAGGGAGGAAGGTACTGGATGTCAAAAATCTCTTCTTCTTTCCTGCTGAATACTAGATCCAGTACTGACGGTACATCTCCTTCCCTCATTCTTGTGGCTTGCTTTATGTGTTGATACAAGAATGTCTCCAGAATGAGGTTCACAAATCTGCATGTCCAAAAGTCCTCCGTTCTTGCTTCATAGGCCTCCCAGTCTATTGCTCTAAAGTTGAAGTCCCCCAGTATCAACAGTCGTGATTTATCTTTATCTGCTTGTACAATAATATCTCTCATGACCATTATGAGGCCCTCTTGTTTGTCATCCAGTTCTTCCTTTGTCCAAGTGTTGCTTGCTGGTGGGCTGTAGGTATTTACAATTATCAGCTTATCATCCTGATTCCAGACCTGCAATGCCATTATGTCAATATCTCGAGGGTTTTCAAATATTAACTCTTTTACCTTCAGGTGTTTTTTCACCAGTACAGCCACTCCTCCTCCCTTCCTAGTTTTCCTATCACGTCTCCAAACTGAGTAGCCTCTTGGGATTATGACTTCATTTATTATATTTCCTTCAAGTTTCGTCTCTGATAATGCAACAATATCTGGGACCCTAAGCTGGATTATATCTTGCAACTCCAAAGTTTTTGACCTCACTCCATCTATGTTGGTATATACAATTTTCAGGAACATGTTCCCTTTTCCTTTGCTCTTTACTCCCCCTTCCACTACTGATCTTGTTGCTTTGTTTTTATGTACCATTTCACAAGCTTTCCAGTCCCTGTCACTTTGTAAAAAAAAGAATTTCTGTCTTCTTCATTTCTATCCCCATTTAGACATTTTGCCTCAATTAGGTTCATTTTCAGCTTTTCTCTGTCTTCCTTGGAGAGGTCTTGTCTTATTGACCAAAATTTGCCAACCTCATCACTCTGCAGTTTCCTGGCATTTCTTAGCACTTCCATCATGTTTTTCACTCCATTAAACGTCACCCTCAAGGGGCAGTTCTTTTCTTTCTCATATTTTCCTATTCTTCTAAAATCACTGACATTTTCCTTTGAGCCTTCTCCTAAACCTACTATTTTCTCTGTGATTTTCATCTCTTCTGCCGCTCGGTCCACCCTAGATGAAATTTCCTTCTCTAAACATCCAAAAATGATTATGGACTTAGTTCTATCTGCAGTGTTTTGTACCAGTTTACTGTTGGTAACCAGTTCTTTCCTAATTGCTTGCCTAATTTCTGCTTCTTGTTGGTCATTTCTGGTTTTGACTTCCGAACACACTTCTTTGATAGTCTCTTTCTCTTTTACAACTTCAGCATATGTCGCTTTTATTTCTTCTTTATACTTTTCTAGTTCTTTATTCACCTCCTCTATGTGAGTTGTCAGTGAAGTTTCCAGTTGGAGATCCTTACCTAACTCTATGTTAGCCCTTAGGCTTGCTTGGAGTTGTTCACCATATGAGTCTATTTTCTTGTTTATTTCTTCAACGTCACCACACTTCACTTTCCATGCCTCATTTTCTTTCACTAGTTCCTTGATTTGCTCCTCCTGATTTGTTACCTTGTCTGTTAATGCATGTGTGTTAATGTTACTGTTATGTTGTGTGTTAATAATGTTAATGTTAATGTGTGTGTGTGTGTGTGTGTAGTGTGGAAAAAAAGCAGTACTGTAGTAGTAGAAACAGTTGATTGACAGTTGAGAGGCGGGAAAGGAGAGGCCGAAAGGAGAGGCCGAAAGGAGAGGCCGAAAGAGCAGAGCTCAACTCCCGCATACACAACTAGGTGAATACATCTCCGTTTATAAAACTGCCGCAATGGAAAAACACCAAAGAAAATGGGAACACTAAGCCAGCGTGACAGCGAGCACTTGGCACGGCATCAGTCAAAGAACTGACTGGGGACAGCCTGGCTAGCCCCGGCTAACAAGCAGAAGGTTAGTCAGAAAAGGTTTTGCTTGTTTGTTTGCTTTCTGGGGGTTCTTTTGCTCTTTTGAGGATGTAGGTCACAATTTTCAACCAGGCAGTGGTCTGTTTTGTTTCACCTTTCTGGGTACTTTTCCAGATCGATGGCAAGTATGATATATGTAGAGTGTTCATAGGCCATTGTTTCCTGCACCTCTCTGGTGCGAGGGGTGGTAATATCACCACTTATACAAAATAAGTGGTGATATTATCACCACTTATACAAAATAAGTGGTGATATTATCACCACTTACAAAATAAATACTAACAGGAATCAACCAAATTGACAAAGAAGAATTCTTGAAATCAGCAACTTCACAAACAAGTGGACACATATTCAAGCTAAGGAAACAAAGGTGCTGAAAAAAATGTTAAAAAGTATTCTTTTGCAAACAGAGTGGAAGACCGTTGGAACAAGTTATGTGAGCTCTTATCCTGTAACTACACTTAGGTAATTACACTTTGGTAATTAGATGATCAGTAAGACAGTTTCAGGGAGCCGATGGGGCTCTCCACAGCCTGTATAGGCTAAGGTCAAATTTTAACAAATTATTGCAGTTATGAGTGTACCTCATGTCAGATTATCCCCTTGTCAATAGGATTCCTTCATGAACATTTTGAAATATATGTATAGTGCTTCCCTAAAAATGTTGATAGCACTGAAGGACTGGTTTCAACTCTCATGAGTTATAATCTCTCACAGCAAGTGTGAAACTTTTATAATATCTTGATGGAAACATTTAATGCCTATCCAGTATTCATGATTCAATGGATAAATGAGCAATAAGTACTAACTGAATACACTGATAGCAAAAGTATTTGCTTTCAATACTTGTTACTAGTTAGAAAAGAATGAATCGGTTAAATAGCAAAACAAGTGCTGTGTGAGCCAGACTGTTAATACAAACAGCAAAGGACAAAACAAAGACAGTATAATGTCCAAAAGCAATGACAATTTGATCAAGCTCTAAAACCATTTTTTTCAGTAAATTTTTGTATTAATCAATTATTGTTATTATGTGCAGCAACTTTTAATTGCATTCTTATTAACAACAATAAATGACACAATACAAATGATTGGTTTAGAAGGAATGAAATATAGTGAGCAAACTGCTTCATCATCAAGCAACAGCAATAGTGGACCTCAAGATCGTATTTCAACCCCAAACTCTCTTAAGAAACTCTCAACAGAACTTCCAGCTTCTTGAATCACGAGTTTATAATATTAGGGTATGGTGGATAGGGGCTGATATGGAAAATTTCAATCCAACATGCATGTAAATATGACAAATGGATCTAAGAAGTTTTCAGTACTGATGTCAAACTTTAAAATTTGTTTAAATACTACAAATATTTGTTATTAATGTAATATAAATTTTACATTAATATTCATTTTTAAATTTCTGCATGCAAACATAATGCATTTACAGCATTATTAACACTTACATATCTAGATGTTTGTGCATGCTTATGCATGTGTTGCAGTGATGCATGTACTGTATGTGTGTACAATATATGTTTGTGCATTTGCATGAAGGATCCAGAATTTCTAAAAAAGATTGCTTACATATGTATGCATGTTTGTATTTATAATTTAAGTACAGTACAGTACTACTGTGATCCATATGTACCTACATCATGAGCAGATAACTAATGATTTATTCACAAATTACAAATTCAACATGAAATCCTCAGGAATACTGGAGGGACTTTTGAAAAGCCACTAGCTTCCTGTTCCTGTTTAGGCCACTAGAGATGTTGACCCACAGGGAAATTCAATTAAAAATGGTCTAAATTTATAAGATCAATTGTATAAGGTACAATTACAACCCACATAATTGAAGTGTGCTTGTATTGGACATATGATGAAATTGAGCTGGTAGTTTGTAGAGTTTTATAGAGAGTGGCAAGTTAGTTGTACTTACAGTAATGGTGCCTTTGTTGTAGTTAAGAGAAGTAGAGACCAGGGCTTCAGCTAGGCCACCGAGCATGAGCCTTACCCGAGGTGTAACCACAAGACTGCTGCCATCACCCTGCCACCACAGTCATAACTAAGACTTTTGTTTACATTTGTTGTGTCATTTGTCAGACAGGATATTTATTGTGAAAGGCTGTGTTTTGTAATATTGTAGTATGATTTAAACAAATAACTTATTCTATAAAGACATTTGGTTAGGGTTAAAAGTCCATGTGTCAGTGATAACTGTGGCAGCGGGTAGGGATGAAGCTTCATTTATCAGCCTCAGTCACACTGGGGGTAAAGCAGCACACTGGGTGGCAAAACTGATGCCAACCCCATCCATCCAGGGCGCCATCATCAGCACTACCACTAACACTGTGCTGCTCCTTACCTGCTTGTAGCAGCACTAGAGCAGAGTACAAGCCTAACTCTGTGTCTGTCAATTTAAGTTCAGCAATAGTTTTGGCAAATTCAAAGACGTTGTTAACAAGTTTCATTTCAACTGTTTCCGTAGTAAGGAAGGCCTCCATGGGCAGAAGAGTGTCACCATACACCACACAGTTCTGATTGACATCGTAGTACCGGGTCATCCGAAGCACAGCTAACTCAAAACTCCCTGTTAAAAACAAAATATATAATCATTTTAATTTAATATTTTCAAATTAACTTCTACTGCATTCTAGTATTATTATAAGAAAAATTCATTGCCTCTGAAAATTCTTTACAGTACATTACACTGTAAAGCCTATATGAGTAAAATGCTATTTTAACTGTATAAAGTTTCATACCTGCTTTGAGAAGAACAATCTGATCATCTTGAGAGAATTTTCTAAAGCCTGGAACAGCCTTAGCAAATTCAATGATCTGCTGGATTATAGACGTTAACTTCTGGGCACAATCAAACCAAAGTTCCTCATGTGCCTGAAAAGGATAACATATCTAAAATAAGAAGACCTTTACAAAATAAATGTATGGAGCACCACTTGGCAAATGGAATTTAATGTGAAAAAATGCCATGTTAAGGAATATGGAATAGGAGAATATGCACACAACCTATATGTGAGAAATTTTTTAAAGAATTCTGATAAAGAAAGAGATCTATGGGTCGTTCTAGATAGAAAACTAACACCTGAGGACCACATAAAGAACATCATGCGAGGAGCCTATGCTACACTTTCTAAGTTCTTTCTAAGTATATCAGACATCACTCGGTACCCCTACTCAAATCTCTGAATATGTTAGATATTAAGTCACTGCACATTCTCTCATGTGTATTATACATATATAAAACGCTGAACTGTAATGCCAATCCTGACCTCAAAAGCTTCATTGAAGGTTGTAACAGATCCCATGAGCACCACACCAGAAATAAATTCAGTTTTGATGTTCCAAGAGTACGACTTAATCAAACTAGAAATGCTCTACAAATCAAGGGACCCAGAATGTGGAATGACCTTCCCAACCATGTTAAAGACTGTACCTCTCTTAACCAATTTAAGATAAAAACGAAGCACTACCTAATAAATTCCCTGTAACCTACCTTACCCCCCTATTGTCAACCCATGTCTGTTTTCTTAAACAATGCTGTTTGTCAACCTAATTGTATTTCTGCTGCGTTTTCAGCCATGTTTCCCCCTTTTTTATCTTTATTTTTATTTGTTCTCAACACATTTTATTCTTTATACTCAATTAGTATTAAGTTTTAGTCATTAATGTTTTTCCTACCCGAAACGCTTTGCGTAATAGTGGCTTTAGGCATTGTATGTACTAGCTCCATCTATAAATCTATTAAATTATGTAAAATCTCTTGTATGTATGTACCTTACCTGAATAAACATTTTATTATTTTATTTTATTTATTAAGTTCAGAATTGGTTTTTAAATACATGGATGGCGACATACTAAAGAAATTGTTCATGATTTTTGTTAGACCAAAACTGGAACAGTTACCTAACTACTGGGTACTATTTACTACTAGGTAAACTGAGGCATTAGGTGAAAAGAAACGTGCCCAAAAATTTCTATCCTGCCTGGGAATCAAACCCAGGATCCCATGACTGTGAGTCCAGAACAATGACATGAGAAGTTATGGTAAAATGAGAAACAAAAGTGATATGCTGTACACTAACTCCATAAATAGGAAAAAAAGACTTGAAAACATTTTCAAATATTTAAAAATGCAAGACCTTGCATGTAAGCCATAATAAGTTAAGTGCACATCATAACTACTACTGTATATCAACAATACGACCATGTAGCAGATTGTTTAAGTAAAGGACCTGGAGTTATAATCGACTAGTCATTTAAAGTTGCTTAATAAGTAGGAGCTATAGGAAAATAAAATAAAACTTATCAACCAAATCTTAGGAACAATTAAAAGAATTTTTGATGTCAATTAAAAAACCAGCATTGAATGTAATGAAACGGCATTTTCTGGGTGAGACCCGGAGGCTTCCTAGAGCTATACCAGGCTGATGTGCATATATATTAGACCGTGGCAACAGTTAATCGATGGAGTTCTAGGCCAACCGGGGACCAGTGCCAGAACCTGGCCCCACTCAGATGAAGCACGAGAAGCAATGGCTTATAGACACCCCCATGTAATTGGAAGCAGTCTACGTCTGCCATCTACCAGGTCAGGCACCCAGAAAGGTAGGAATTCCAAAACAAACTACAGCTGGTTAAAAATTGCAAACTGAAAGCCAAAATAGCAAACAGAACTCCCCAGTTGAAAACAAGCAAACAAGCATGACGTCACCACAGCTGCCGCTCCGCTGTCTGTGCAACTCATTCCTGGGAGGGGAAAAGGGGGTCCCTGATTTCCCGTGCGCTGGCTAGTCAACCCCAGTTCAGAGGCCCACTATAAAAAATGCAAAAACAAAAAAATGTCGATCGGAGGGAGGGAGGGATGTCAAGGAGCCTCCGAGTCTTGTCCAGAAAATGGCATTTCATTACATTCAGTGCTGGTTTTCTGTGGAAAACCCCTTCAGCTCCCTGGAGCTACCTAACCAAAGAAGGAAAAGAGGGCATCGACCAACCATTCCGTGGACAGGAAAATGAAACTTGACAGGTCGTCCATTAGTATGTTGGATACTCTATGGACATGAACCACCAGGAGAACCAAACCCCGAGAACTCAGCAGACGAGCCACCTGAAGCTACCAGTCCCAAAGAGCCAAGGACCACTTCGAACCCCCGCAGTTCAGACAATGAACCACAGGGGAGCAGGCCGAATGGAGCCGGATTGTTGATCCGCGAGCAACTCAACGTGAAGCGAATGCCATACCGCCGCAAACTCTCACGCCGTGCTGTGAGCCCGACGAAAGGATGGACCCCACTGACCCTAGCCGGCCTGGTGATCACTAGTCACATTACCCCACCTGAGAGGCGAGGCATCTGTGAACACACTGAGTGAGGGCTCGGGTAGGCGCCACAGCACAGAACCCAAAAAAACTCAAAGAGGAAGCCTGCAACGCAGCAGCCGACGCAAGGCCCCCGGGGTCTGAACCCAGCTATCACAAGAGCGGCGGAAGGGATGTCCCTGTTGAATCCAGAACAGCCGCCGAAGCCAGATCCGAACCCGACGGGTAGACCAGCATGGTGAAGTTCAGACTCCCGCAGAGCTACTTGAACAACCATCACGTGACCCGAGCGCCCTTCAAAATCAGCCGAAGGCGGGACCACAGCCACAGTAATGCAGCGGGAGGGAGAGACAAGGAAGCAGTCCGAGAGTCCCACACAAGACCCAGCCAAGCCCGAACCTGAGAGGGAACCAAATGGGACTTTCTCCAATTCATCAAGAACCTGATCCAGGCAAGTTGGGAAAGAACCAAACTCCCTGTGAGCAGACATGCGGATTGGCCGGGAGCCCAGACCAGCCAGTTGTCAATATAAGCCAGAACCTGAATGCCTAACACACACATACGGGTCACCACAACCCAGGTAAGGCGTGTGAACATGCGAGATGCCAGATTGAAGCCGAAAGCCTTAAAGTACCTGAAGCCTGAAGCCTGAAGATTGAAGCCTGAAGCCTTAAAATACCAGACTGGTTTTCAACATTTAACACTGCTATTTGTCTCTCTCTCTCTCTCTCTTACAATCTGAGAGGGCCAGGTTCTGGCACTGGTCCCCTGGTAGGCCTAGAACGCCAACAATTGACTGTTGTCAGGGTCTAATATATGCACATCAGCCCAGTATAGCTCCGGGGAGCCGAAGGGGCTCTCTCCACCTGGCTCTCCACAGAAAAAGTGGTTATTCAACTGAACAAGTTTCTGGTGTGCCCTCATCTGGACTACTGTATCCAACCAACTGAGATTTCACTTTTAAAAGGATATACAAACTTTAGAGAAAGCTCAACACAGAGCAACAAAAATTATCCCAGGCCTAACTCAGCTCTCATAATGACTGAGGACCACTGAATTAACAACACTACAAATTAGACATGCCAGGGCTTATCTCAACAAGACCCTGAAAATGCTTAACAAATTTGAAGATATTAATCAAAATCATTTATTTAAATGATGCAATGTAAAGTTGCAACCCACCAAACATTTTTGCGTTTTCTGAACGTGCTAAAAACAACATTTCATTGTTTTGAGCATGTTTTAAATTACGTTTAATGTACGTGTTTTGAGAATTTGTAAAGACAAGTATAAAATGTGAGGTAATAATGTTTTAATAGAATGTGTTTTAAATGTTATGATATAACGTTTTGGAGCTGGTTACGTTGTCCTCTTGCAGGGTTTTGCTTTTGTTTTTTATTTCCTGCCTAGTGAGAGGGTCTGCCTTGGTGGTTGCCCCTTCTGTGTTGGGGTATATATATATCTATCATTATATCTATTCTCAGTTTTTATGTGGTACGTGGTGCCCCTTGCTAGGCCCCAGTGAGTGTACACATCCCAGGGGTTCAGCTATTAGCAGACTGTTTGGTAGTCTTGGGCTCCGGTTCGCAGTACCCTATCTGGGCTTCCCTTAGCATGTTAATAAGGGATAAGGGCCCCTGAAAAACCCAGCGGAGGCTCATTGGTTCGATGGACGTGACCCTTGAGTCCCCTCTCGCATCGTGTGAGTCAGAAGGTTGCTCTGTCCCCTTGTCTCTGGGGGATAATCACCAGTTCTGCATCCTCCATGCTGCCTGTTGGGTCGAGGATTCTTTTGACCCGGAGTCATGCGACGTTTGTTGCCTGTACGTGCTTCAGATCACCCAAACTACTTATCATGATATTAGGGTGCAGGTGGCAGCTGCATTGCATTTGGTTGCTGCAACGTGCTAGGTTAGTTGCTTCCCCGGATGACCCGAGACTGCCCCATTTTGGTTTTAGGGGCCTGGACTTGGGGTGAGAGTCGCTTTGGCTCTGGCTCTGTCCTCCCCCCCACCCCCCTTGTCCTCTTGTCCTTCCCCTTCTGCTGTTCATCAGGTTCCTTTTCCCCTTGCTTCCGGCTCCAAAGCATCTGAGGGTTTCGGAGTCAAGGCAGGGTTTAGTTGCGGTTGAGACTCGAGCAGTCTCGGGGGAGTCCCTTTCTGGGGTGGTGGCGGAGGCATTCGAGCCTGGTCCTCCTGCCGGAGCTTCTGGGTCTGACCAGTGGACCTCCTTTGTTCCTGCTTTTTCGGCTGCTACTACCTTTTCTTTAGAGGCGGTGGGGTGTGGAGAACGGCTCAGCCCCAGATACTCGGGGTGAGGTTCCAGGGGCGGGGGAAGGGCTGACTTGGAGGCCTTGGGCTCCATTGGACCCCGCTTGGGTTTTTGTACCCTCGGAGTGGGGCTTGGCATTACAAGGTGTGGGGTTCTCTTTTGCTCCCTCCTTGTACAAGTTGGATTTGGCGTCTACCCCTCCCTGGGTTCGGTTCCGTGACCCCTGATGGTTCTTCAGTTCCATCTTTCTGGAGGTTTCCGGCTTCTCGAATCCAGTCCCAGTGGTTGA